AGGGGGGTGGGGGCATGCCCCCGGGAAATTTTTGTGTTTTAGACGCCCGAAAATAGCCTCTGAGGCCTTTTGGGCGATATTTTTTTTTTTTTGACTTTCTAAAAGGGCGAGGGGGAAATGGCCGGCCCGCCCCTCTAAATCCGCCCCTGATAAACATTTAAAAATATAATTGATAGTAAGTATATAAATGCATAAATAGAATGAATGAACCATTACTCCTACAGAGAAAAGTAAATACATTATATACAAACCCCTCGTTATAATTTTAAATCATGTACAATACAAACCTGCAATTCAACCGTGTAAAATGTTTTACTATTTACTGTAATTGATTAAACTAAATAGGGTATTTATAGAGAAAAACTGAAAGTTTGATGCTAATTTTGCACTTTGACGGAAATTGTTATCGATTAATAAAAAGAAAAAAAATCAAACTTACATCTGTAAAGCTTCCTTTTTGCAATGTTGTCATTACTTTATTTACCACACCGGTTTGCAATTTATACTGACGAATGAGTTGTACTAAAAAGAAAAAAAAAATATAGATTAGTAATTTTGTTTATACAATCAGTGATGTAGGCCTGTCTAGAATTTTTTGAAATGGGGGTGCTGATTTGGTTCGCAAAGGTGAAGTGGGCGGGGGGCTTTATGATCAGTTGAGGGACACTAATTCGCAAAATAAAGTGATTTTAGGTGATTTTTAACTACTTGACCGTGATTATTTTTTCGGGGGGGGGGGTGCGGGGGAGTGTGGGCGCGAGTAATTTTTGGAGAAGATTTCCCCACCCTCCGCGTACCCCCTAGATATGCCACTGTATACAATTCTAGGAGCATTTGGGCGCAGCGGTTGCGGTTTGCATCTTAACCTTAAGGAGGTCGGTGGTTCATTCCCTCGCTGTGCGTTTTCGCTTTTATCCTTAGGCAAGGTACCACTTTACCGACGGTTGTTTATCTCCACGCAAGAGTACAAGTATGTACCCGGTAGGTTTAAACACAAGACGCGCAACATTATGGAAATCTTCTCGGAGTATGTGCTCTAAATGTGCTTGATCCAATGACCGGGGGTAATAATGTTAAGTGCATAGAGGTTTTCCTTTATAAATCCACCATTATTATTATTATTATACTCACAGAGGACACATCGTCTGAGGACGCAAAAACTATTGTTTTAAAATAATTTCCATTGGCTAGCAATCATGATAAGCAATTTCGTTGTAAAAAAAAAAGCGAGAAAAATTTTTTTTTTTTCACAACCTAGAATTTTCATCGTATTTTCAAATAGGCCTTTACCTACATTGTAATTATTTGAAACGAATAAAAGCGTCTTGTACTGAAATGAAATACAATTATAAGCTATCTTCCCAGAGAAACTTGTTTTTTTTATTCATTTACTTTATTTCTATCGATTTCTCAATATTCTGTAATGTCAATTTGTTTCAACAGATATGTTTGTTAAACGTATTCAAATAATATATCAATCAAACTTGTAATATTATTATGATTGCTAACATTGTATTAAAGTCAATCATTATAGATTATATTACGCTTACTTTTTCCAGATATGACGTAATAAAATCGATCGGGTATCCTTCCTTGAAATGCGATTATTCGGCCGTCGTCATAGCAATCGTAACCAATAAAACGCGCAAGGTCTTCTTCAACCCCGCTTGGAAAAATATTGAATGCCTTGGTTGCTCGGAGATAGTAAATGATCTGCCAAGAAAGATAAGATACCGTGCATAATAAATAAATAAATCACTTGATAGTAGCTTATGTATGGCTTTCCTATTCCCTGTAATAGGCTTATAATATAATTTATTCCCTTTAATTTATTTGGCCTTGTTTCGTGGCGATTTTTCCCTTTTGAGGTACTTCTACGGACTTTATTGAAATATTGTACTTTTGCCTTGCGTTGTCCTTTATTCAGACACGGTTTTTATGATGTTTTTCCCTTTGATGAATAAAGTGATTTAAAATAAAATAATTTGTATTATGAACAAAGTGTAGACTTAATGATTGGATACCGATAGTGGAGAGGAAAATACGTTACTTAAACATTTTTATCACATTAATAATGATGATAGCCGTTTCCCTTCGTATTTAGTTAATTATGATGACAGCATTCGTTCTTCAATCCATGTCAAAACAGGGGTGGCGCCAGGATTTGCCTGACGGGGGTGCCAATCGGCGGTGGCGCCAGCACCTGCCCGACGGAGGGGCTAAAGGCCCCGACGGGGGGGGGGGCTAGTGGAGCGAATCGAGTCTCATTTGGTTGGGGGCCGCCTAGGGCCCCCGGTGGGAGTCCAGGGGGCGAAGGCCCCTGGAAGCGATTATGGCGATTTTTTATTACTTATTTGATAGGCATCGAGTTATATAATATGACTTCATGTAGGCTATGCTTTCTAATGTTGAAATCAGCTTCCAAAACCAAAACATTTTGAATAAAGCAAGAAACAAAGGGTATGCAATGTAACCATCCAATTTATTTTCAAATCCTCATTCTTGAAAGTAAAATTCTATATTTTGGAAATTTTGCATTAAATCTATCAACCACGCTGTCATGGTCGAGGTTGATAGATTCACATGAGGCTATCTAAATGAGCATTTGTCATAACAGAACGCAAATTATTTTTAATTAGTCTCATTGAATTATTATTATTATTATTATAATTATTATTATTATTATTATTATTA